CATCAGGCACTTATTAGTACTAAGTACTGTAACATTTGATTCCATGAAATTGATCTTGCCAACTAGTTATCCTTTGGAGAGTAAGCTGAAGCGAAGAAGTTGATAGTCCTGATGAGATCTTGCAGAACACTTTAATGCAGGGCAGGGCCGGCGAGAGCTGTCAGGGCCGCTGGGCTGAGCGATCGGGCCCCCTTTTTTCCTGACCTAGTCGCCAGCCGCCTCCGTGCCATTTTGTTACACAAATAACAATATATTTCCTAAATGCTTGATAGTTTGATTAATTCATGTGCTCACAGTTGCAACTTTATTTAAGTAAAATAAACGGTATCAGCATTCTGACACATAAGTCCCAACAACACACATAAGTTTGTCAACAACCTTCATCGTGTGTAAGCGGTGAGAGTAAATATACGGAAATGGGATTTGAAAATTTTGTTCAGAATTTAAAGGACTATAACATACTAAATTGTTATCAAAATTGTTCGAGCCAATTATGGGAAAATCCGATTTTTCCGTTATTTTATGGGGTTTTTATGGGAAAATAACATAATTTACAATAACTTTTGAACCGTAATTTTTACAGAAATGGGATTGGTACCATTTTGTTAAGAATATAAAGGACTATAACATACTAAATTTTTATCAAAATCGTTCGGGCCATTTTTGGGAAAATCCTGTTTTTCCGTTATTTTATGGGGGTTTATGGGCAAATCCCCATTAATAATACTAAATTTTAAAAAATGAAAAAACTATCAATATTGTAAGGACCATTTTATGTGTTAAATAAAACCCGGATTTTTGACCAAAACCCTATCTTTCGTTATTTTATTGGGTTTTTATGGGAAAATAACATAATTTACCATAACTTTTGAACCGTAATTTTTACAGAAATGGGATTTGTACCATTTTGTTCAGAATTTAAAGGGCTACAACATACTAAACTTTTATCAAAATCGTTCGGGCCATTTTCGAGAAAATCCGATTTTTCAGGTTTTTTATGGGTTTTTATGGGAAATCAACATTAAAAATCAAAATTTCAAAAAAATGAAAAAAAAACACCTGGAGATACCATGGATTAGAACCTACATACCAAATTTCATCGAAATCGGACCACATGTGTAGTCCCTAGCTCTGTACACATCCAGACACACACACACACACACACACACACACACACACACACACACACACACACACACAGACATCACTTCGAAAACCACTTTTTTGGGTCCAGGGGGACCCAAAACGAATATATCCACTCAAAACTCAAACTCGAAAATTTTGACGAAAACAATACTTTCTCCATATACTATATGGTATAGGGGGAGAAAGTAAAAAACGAACAAGTCAAAGCCTTGAGTTACAATTCAAGTCAAAAATTACTTAGTGAACTGAAAAACTATCCTAAAATTTTTGACTTTCGGCAGATTATAAACAGTAAAAATGTTACCTTTGACCGGGCCGCCCCCCTGCCCCACCCTCTAGCCGGCCCTGCTTTAATGTCATCAGCAATTAAACATCAAGAAATCTGTCTCGATGATGTCTTTAATCTTCATATGTCGTTGAAAAAAAATACAAAACCGAAGCACCAGAAAAGTTCAGGAAAAGGCAAAAAGGAGGAGTTCTCATATTTGACAATGAGATATCTTCCCTTGAGATAGCTTGCTAACCATTGGAACAACGGTCCGCAGACTCCAAAAGCCATAAAGTTTAGCCAACAAGATACGATGGTCGACTCTGTCGAAAGCTTTGGCAAAATCAAGGTATACACATCAGTCAACCGATCTGGGGCCCTATTTTTGAAATGGTTGACAGTTGAGTCAATCGTCAGCACTCAACTCAACCAACAACATGATTTGGTATTTTTGAAACCCAACAGTTGGGAAGCGAGTTGGGAATCACTAGTTGAGAGACTCGTGGTGGAAATGTAGAGCATACGACCGTCAAAAATTCAGATGACGTCATTTTGAACCAATCACAATGCAGAGTTCCACTGAGCTATAATTCTAACTGGAGGTAGCACTGAATGTCAAAGATGCGTGTCGCCAGCCGCCATGTTTGCGTGAGGTGTGAGTTATAAAGAAGCCATGTTATTGGATGAAAAAACTCACTGCTATACAGACCTAGTTATAGAAGCCATGTCATTGGTTAAAAAAACTCACTGCTATACCAACCTAACAAAATCAGCGACACGCTCTTGACAGACTTCTGCCATGGCAGTGCTACCTCCAGTTATAATTTTAGCTCAGTGCAGAGTTCTTGCGGACTTCGATTTAACCTCTTCTTACTCTAAAATCTGGCAGCTAAATCTCAATCTGCCATATTTCGAGACACTGAGGTAAACTGTCAACTCCGTTCTTGAGAGATTGAATTGAGATTGAGGTTATGTCTTACTTAATCTTAGTGATTGCAAAGTACCTTAACTTAAGTAATAAACTAAAGTAAACTAAATAAAGTAGCCTAATAAACTTAAGTATAAAAAATAAAATTTACTATGGATGTTTGTTTTAGGGTGTAGCTAATTATAAGTTTAGGCATAGGCTGCACTTTACTTCAGGTCCTACACTCATCCTAAATACATTATTATTTGCTTTCTTCGTCTCTATTTCGGAACACATCACCTTATTTTAGTTTCCTTCGTCGGTTTGTTTTATGTTATTTTTAATTGTTTTTTATTTAGGTTAAAGCGGCTATTTGCCATTGCACTGGAAGCATATCGTAACTTAATTATAATAAGTTCAATTAGTATGCCTAGTCTATTTCAAACATTCCAACAAGAATAAAACCCTTGATTAAATAGTCTAGTATTGACACAGTAAATAAAATTAAAATGCGATTATTCTACAGAAAACAATCGCATAATTGGGTGCTAATACATTGACAACAAATACATAACCTCTAAATCGCAATTAGTAAATTAATTAAAGCAATAACAAAACAATATGGCGTCGTCTCAAAAAGAGTAATTTTTTGCCGAAAGAGAGGAAGAAGAAAGTGTAGTCAACCTCCACTCAACAGCTCGATAGGTGTTGAGTAGTTTTGGTTGTATAAGTCCACCGTCAACCGTTTCAAAAATACGAAACGATTGGAAGACTCGACACTCAACTCAACAGTCAACCATTTCAAAAATAGGGCCCCTGGTCTCAAGGAATGATGTCATTAGTACTCATGTAAATGGAGAAGATAGGTACCTAGCTGTAGAGCGCCCCTGAAAGACACTGTTGTTCAGGTACAATATGGACACTGAGATTAAACTGAAGGTACGGTAATCCAAAAGACCTTGGACAAAACTTTTGTGAATCTATTGTATTGGTAACTTGTTCTGATAGTTTGTTATTTATATAGTTAAATCATCATTTGAGGTTATCTTGTATGTATTGTTCTTATAATCTTGTTGTTTCCAGTTTTTTTCACTACTTTTGTACTGGCCTATTTGTTGGAAACACACTGTATTTTCCATGTATTTTATTCTGTACAAACTTCTCTGTGTTTTCTTGTAAAAATAGTGTGTCCGTTAATAAATAAATACTTTCAACAACTTTTGCTATCGTAGACTAACTTATATCGGAATCAATATGACGTAGTTCTTTACATTTTCCCTTTCACCCGATTTAAAAATTGGTATCACACACTGGGGAGCACTGCTTGACACACTGGGGGAAGACTCCACGACTCCACTCGTATGTAAAGCTTGAAACAGAATGGTGAGATCACCGATGAACAGAACTTCAGTATTATCGGTGGTATTCCATCATTCCATCAGGGCCTGCACTCTTTTCTATCATCAAGGGTTTCGATTTTCTTCTTTACATCACTTGCGGTATACAGGGTGTTTCCGAATTGTCTGGACATATTTTGTTGAGTTGTTCAGTGGGCTAAAACAAACATATAGCCCCATATAGGTCTAAAGTGCCCAGATTTCCGCATTTCGGTATGTTTGTGATTTTTATAAATTACTTAATATCTTGGGTATTTTTCAAGATAAAGATTTACAATTTTGCATGAGTGTGTAGTTTTGAGAGTAAAAAGAACTGTGAAAGTTTCGTTCCAATATCTCAAGCCGTTTCAATATTGAGGCCATTTAAAAACTAATGCCAAATTTCATGAAAACCATAAATATTAAGAAACTTTTTTATCTGGCCAAAAGGTAATGTAGAAAAAAACTGATAACTCGGTTATTTTTCATCTGATTTTAACAAACAAGGCCTCATTTGATTTGTATCAAAATTCTCTATTTTTCAAGGCAAAAGATTTTCTTAATATTTACGGTTTTCGTGAAATTTGGCATTAAAGATTTTAAATAGCCGCCATATTGAAACGGCTTGAGATATTTGAACGACATTTTCACAGTTCTTTTTACTTTCAGAACTACACATTCATAACAAATGTTAAATCTCTATCTTGAAAAATGCCTAAGATATAAAATAATTTATAAAAATCACAAACAGACCGACAGACAGAAATATAGGCACTTTAGACCCATATACTTATATGGTGTTTTATGTTTGTCTTAGCCCAGGGAACAAGTTCACAAAATATGTCCAGACAATTCGGAAACACTCTGTATAAAAGCACAATTTGAAAGAGAAAAATTCAATCCATTGTCAAAGTTTGGTACGTTAGTAGTATCAGTATCATCATTTGCAGTGAAAACAGATGAGGAATAATCTGTTGATGATTGGCATTTGCTGGTTGATTCAAATGCTTCTTCTGAATTATAACACATTCGGGGGTTAGGTGGTTAGGCTCAGAGGAAGATCTCAAATTGTTCACATGGGTCAAAAAGATTTAAAGTTTTAAATATCATCTTCAGATAGTGTTCGGTTCCTTTTTTCCAAACATGATTGATTGTTTATAGTGCCATAGATAAAACTAGTCTAGAGAGTGCGTTTTAGACGTAAAGAAGTTAGTGTTTGTTTTTTATATAGTACGTTTTAAGCCGTTGGCTTTGTTTTCTCAGAGCAAAATTTCTGATGTTTTTACTTCCGGTGAACTCTCGTTGTTTTTCTCAGCAAGTTTGGAAGCCATCTTTTAAATTTATTGTCCATTTTCGTTTAGTGAGGCGTCTATTGTCTATTCTAAATTAAGAGTGTTATAGGTGTGTTAAACCCTTAATCGAATTTCACATTAGTAAAATAATTGACCACCCTTAGGTAAGTTACACTTGTGTTTCTAATTTTTTGCACTAACCTTGTTTGTTATCCTACAAAACACATAACCTTACTATTTGGCATTGGCAGCATTCCCGGGCGTTGTTGGGTTCTCGACGTAATGGAGTGATGTCTTGCCGATCTTCCTGAATTAGTTTTATGTGTTTATGATTGTTAGGCCCAAATACGTTGGTAATTATTGCTATTTTAGTATAAGTTAATGCCTGGAATTTAATTAAATTTGATAGTTCTGTCGAATTTCCTTCAATCGAGTTAATCTCATTGTATTTTCCCTCCAGACTGACAAGCCGAATGGGTAATTATGTTATCAAGGCCTTGTGTTTATTGCGATTATTTCCTGAATGGTTTGGTTCTACTTTGAACATAACGTAAATAGGTATTAAAATCCTATTCTCTCCAAGTTTTTTCCCGTTAGTTGGCTATCAGTTAGGCTAATAAGTTATCTTATTATTTAACTATTAATTCATAAAAAAGGGTTGCCTCTTAGAAAATTTTATTTTATGTAGGTCTAGCCCTAGGCTTTCTTGAAAGTTGTGAAATCCAATTAGGCTATGGTAAACTGTTGTCTCCTCTTTCATAGACATTCAATGGATATAACTTACCTAACCAATTGTTGGGCTATGCCTAAGTTAGGCCTAAGTTATTTGGCCTTACAGGAGATGGTGTTGGGCTTGTTTAGCTTGCTTATCCGATGTCTGAGTTTTAGAAGCTTAGATCCGCTTAAGAGAAATTGACTAAGTTTATAAATATAGCCTAACTTAATTGTTGGTAGGCCTAAGCTATCTACACTTAAGCTGTTTGCAAGAAATCCTACTTCTCACTAGGCTAATCTTATAGATAGCCTATGTTGGGCTTTCTGGACTTTTCTTCTAAGTTAAGTTACCGTGCAGAAGCTGGTGGCGGCTGAGGGATCAGGACGGCCAGGTTGGTGAGCAGGTCGTCCTACATGGCCGTCCTAATCCCTCAGCTGCCACAAGCTTTTGCGCGGAGTATAAGTAGGCCTAACTTAAACCTTCATTTAAACCATTCCTATGGTAAGATCCTATAAAACAATAAATAAAGTAACTTACTTAACTTAGGCCTAGGCCTACCTGTAAAACATTTTTTAAAGCGCAGAGCACATCGCACACCTACGAACAAAAAGTGAAGTGATGCGTATCTTAGTTAGGCCAAACTTACTTCGGTTGAAACTGAAACAATGAATGATCTTATAAAATACTGAACTTGTACCTAAGTTACTAACTTTTATGTTAAGATTGAATTTTTTTTGTTGCCTTAAGTTTATCCGTTATGCATTTTAGGGTTTGCACGTGATTTTTGAAATTTTTGTTTCCATTCTCACTTATTTTACTTGAAATTCAACGCTGATTCCGTAACTTTAATCACATTCTTTTTCCGCGGAAAAAAACCATAACGCGAAAAAACTACCATAAAAATGTTTTTTTGCAAAAACATGTCATGTGGGTAGGTACTCAAATCAACCGGAATATTAAACAGATCACAAATATGCAAGAATTTTTGGATCTGACGTCAATTAAGCGAGATTTTGACAAAAATGTGATAGGCCTACTACCAGCAATAAGTCTAACCCCAACTCACACGGGGACACGGGTAGTCTTTCGTATCTGTTGACACAAACAACGTAGGTAGACTTTCGTAAGTTATTTGTTGGCACAAACAACCGAATTAAAATATTGATTATTCGATAGGCCTATATCGTTTGGTTACTAACTAACCAAACGATATATCGATCGGTATTTTCATTCGGTTGTTTGTGCCAACAGATACGGAAGTCTACCCGGGGACTTTTGGGTGGGGGAGACATCTAACGTGGTTTATCATCAGAAATTAGGCTTGGGAAAGGGTAATTGAATGTGTAAAAGGGTAATTTGATGGGAAATAATGGGTAGATAATTAAGTTACAGTAACTTTTTTAACAAACTCCGTGCGTTAAGTGTCGCGTAATCGATGCACAACACTTCCGCTGTGGTGTTATGAGTCGCTTTTGCGACACACAAACATCGTTTACGGCGAAGGCTCTGGGACTGACTGAATCAGATCGAGATTGGTATCGTTGTTTTCAGCAGATTCTAAGCGTTCTCCTGATGTCTGTTTCTAGACGCTTTTAATTTTAGTTCCGAAAATATTGTAGCAGACATGACGTTTGTATTTGTAAACAACTTGGTTAACCTCGCACCGATGACTGATGTGTTTTATTACGTTAATCATTGTTTTAGTAGTGTTAAAAATAAAAAGTAGTGATATACGTGGTGCATTATAAAAAGATTGAAGTGATTTTGAAGGGCTGGTTGATGATCCTGAAGAAGTAGGTAGTGATAATGATGTAAATAATTCACGAGATTGCTAGCTAGCCCTATGGTTAGGCTGTGCATTCTTAGCTAACGCTAAATGTACAAAATCAGTTTTTCACCTATAGGCCTAGCTTATTTATTTGCAAACCTACTTCCTTATATTATTATATTTTTGGAATCCTCATAAAATTTTGAACAAAGTGGCTATTTTAAAATATTAGTAGACCTAAAATTATAAAAATTTATTGAGCGCAAACATAAAATGTTTCATTTATTTTATAATTTTTGAGAAATGATTGGAGACACAAGAATTGTAGACAATTTTTTTGTAATATTTTATATACCCTATTACATTGAAGCCCATAATTTTCCAAACAAAATGATACATAAAACAGTATAAACTTACCCTACTTTAGAGTGTTTTTAAGTATCTAAGATACATTTTAATAAAACCCTGCGATTGCACAATAAATGGGCCGACATTAAGACCATTACTATGGACACTTGGAGTGTTAACCCTACATTTGCCCGTCCACATAGACTACAGATCTGTGCGTGGAACGTACCCAGCAAAGCAAGGGGTGAGCCGGTACGGTACCAAGGGTAACTGTACTGATAAATTTTAGTGGCAGTGACCAGGATCCGTACCCACAACATCGCTGCCTTGGGCCCGAAGTCCGTGACGCTACGGTACCATCTAAGCCACCGACTCACCTAAACTTAGTCGGGAAAATTAAGTTAATAAGTTATGGGAAATTGCTTGGAATTGGGAAATGGTTGTTTTAGCTCTGCCAGGTTGCTTGTTAGGTTAACTAAGTTTGGGTGGGGTTGGGTTAGGTTGGTTTGGTTTGGTTAGGTTGGTTGGTTAGGTAAGGTTTGGTTAGTTTAGGTTAGGTTATGCCTAGTATAAACAATTATAATAAAATAATGACCAATTGATCAGCTGGTATTTTAACACAGACAAAGGTTGGAACAAAAATACAAAATAGCATCTCAGATCTCGTTTGTTTTACGTCGGATCCAAAATAAAACTTAATATTCCGGTTAATTTGAGTACCCACATGACGTGTTTTGGTAAATAAACATTTTTGGTCGTTTTAGAAGTTTTTCCGCGTTATGGTCGTTTTCCACAGAAAAAGAATGTCATTTTCAAAATCAGCGTATTTCAAGTAGAATGAAAAAAAAAATTGAAAAATCGCTTGCAAACGCTAGAATGCATATTTACCCCGCCTTACTACATCTTAGGTGTATCAAAAGACTATTTTGGGGGAAAGTATTTCACCCTGAAAATCACGTTTGTAAATCTCTTCCACTTTTTCGGCAAATACCTAACTTATTTCACCCCAAAAAACACAATTGAAAATTGTGGAAAGCGTTAAAAATCACTTAATATTGGCACACTTGACTGGTAAATGTGTCAATAACAGGTAGACCCCCGTAACTTATCTGTTGTAAAAAAAACCTCGATGAAAATATCGATCGATATCGATTATTTTTAACCTATCGTTTGGTTAGTTAGGCCTAACCAACCAAACGGTATAGGTATCAAATAATTTTTCATTCGGTTGTTACAACAGATACGAAAGTGTACCCTCAATAAATTAACCTAACCTTGGTTTACCCAAATTTGGCCATTTTCGGCACGTTGCTAGCATAAGTATGGGTTAGGTTAGATTACCTAGGTTATGCAGGTTAAATTAAGTTAATTATGTTGTATTACTTATTTCTAGGCCTAATTTGGTTTAGCCAAAAATGGGTAATTTTTGGCACTGCTATTTTTATACGACTTTCAAACCTGGTTTTCTGGATATAAACGGCTTTTGCCGAAAAAGTGTTTGAAATGGACTGGACTAAGAAAACACAGAAAAGTAAAAAAATAATTTTAAAGCCCCAAAAATCATTGATTTCTAATAGGCCTAGTGCTTTTCCCAATGTTCAATTGCGATTTTCAGGGTGAAATAGTTTTTTCCCCCAAAAGTACGAAAGATAAAAAGTGCTTAAAATAGCCTAATTTTGTTAGATAAAGCAAAAAAATGCAATCGAACTTAAGTAGTATATGTTCGGTACATTACCGATCTTATTTAACCATAAATAGGCAGGTCGGGGTTTATGCGGGTTCATGGCTGCATTAAGTTTTTTAGAGTTAGGTTAGATTAAGAAGGTAGTAAGAAGTGTTGGTTGTCTCGCCGCGGCCTTTTATTACAGTAGTCCATGTCAGCATCGCTGACGAAAAACCTCATGAAATAAAAATTCAATATGTTATTGGTGAATGAGTTTTTACTGTATTTTAAGTTTTATTAACTTTCAAGTTACCATAAGTAGGCCAAGACTATTTTTTTTGTTATAAAAGTTCCTGTAATTTTTTAAAATTTATGTTTGTTTATATATAACATAAAATGACTCATCGGCTGACCGTTAATTTTCAAGGTGAATAAAAATAAGTTAACCCTAACAGTGTCAAACATCGATGCTTCGATGGTAATGAAATGTTCTGAGGTGTCAAGCGTTGATGCATCGATGGTAGTACAGACAGTTACATATTGTCTTTTAACTCAGTAAATTTCAGTCCAATTTGGACTTGATTTATATCACTGTAAACAGCAGAATACTGGCTTTCTGCTGGTGTTGTTTCATAGCCTTACTTTTGTTTGTCTGTTTCCAGATGTTTTGAAAAAAAAATACTATGTTTTGGTTGCGTGTTGTTGTTGTTTACAAGTTGTTTGTTACTATCTTTTCTTTATTGAAAATTGATTTTTATCAGTTTGGATTAGGTTATGTATTTAGATGTACAAAATAATCAATGATGACTAAGTTAACTTGTTGGTTTCATGTGTTTGCAGTAAGTTTTGAAGGTTCATAATGACAGTAAAGTCATTGTAATTGGCCTAGTGAGTGATTTTACGACTATTCCTATCTCATATTTATGACTCATGGCTATCCTACAAATTAAATTGACTATACTAAAAATCATATTTTATTTTTTGCTACAAAACTTAGAAATAAATGGCTATTTCAGATGTTTCATTTAGTTTAGAAATTACTTATAAAAATAGGGACACAAACATTTTTTTTATATTTTTATTTTGTAATTTTTATCTTTCTAAGTACTTTTTTACTATAACATATTTATAAAATCAAATTATTTATGCTGAATTTTAATGTGCATTTATTTAGCAGCATAAAAATATATAACAATGTATAGTTATTTTGCATAGTAGATTTGTTATAGTATTAAATAAACATTGCTGCCAAATGCCTGAAAATCGCCCGACACCACACAAAAAATGACTGACACCAGGAGGGTTAAATAAAAATATTAACAATGCCGGTTAAAACTTACTAGCCTAAAAACTTAGTTATTGGCCCGGTTCACACGAGCCACTTATCTAGCCGACTAGGCTGTGACTAGGTAAGCCTGACTGGGTAGCGGACCACAGGATCAAATGGAGCCGTTCACACGAGCGAAGGGCGATGACTCGCATAGTCGGGGCCCCACTTCCCAGTCACTCATGGCAGCTGCCCAGTCACCCGCTCTAGCGGCGTAGCAGTACACGTAGCCTTATGGGAGCGATCCGGTTGTCACGCTGCAGCTCGCATTCTTCCATTTGTTCTCATTGTGCACCAGTGATGGATCCGAGTGGTTTTGATATCAATATTTTCATCTAGTCTGTGGACATGTTGCTCGTGTGAATCGGTATCCTGTGGTCCGCTACCCAATCGGGCTTATCTAGTCACATCACAGCCTAGTCAGCTTGATAAGTCGCTCGTGTGAACCGGGCCTTAGGCCTAACTTAAGTTAGACAGGCCTATAAATTCTTTCAGGAAGAAACACATAGAATTACTTACTTAAGTAGGCCTAACTTAGATTAGGCCTATGATAAATTATTTGACATTTTTTTTAATAAGCATAACCTACTCATTTGTTTTGTGTCAATTATAACTTTAAATACATCCAAATATTTATAAACTCTTTCCATTTTGAAAATACACTAGGCCTACTTATTTAACTTGCATAGTTAAACATAATTGGCTTGTTACATTCATCAGATAAACTTACCCTTTACTTATAAGTAAATAGCCTAGAACACATTGTCAGACACTAAGTCTCTGTAGTAATAAATTTAATACAAATTAAAAGGCTTTATAAGGACTATTGCACAACCAAGCTGATACCCACTTGTCACTGGCTTTTTCTTGTCTCAAGATAGTTCCGACAATTGTCGAGGGAGCACATCACCTCCAAAGCAAAGAGAATCAAAAACAAAATTACAATGCTAAATATTATGAAGAGAAACATAGGGCCACTACGCGTGACCGGCCTTAGCTGCGGGGCTACCAGCAGCGCTGAACAATGTTGCGTCATAAAACAAAATGGAGAAGGCCACTAAGTGTGGCCTTCCCGATCTATAGGGCAGGAGAAGAAAACAATAAATGTGACCGCAAAGGGTTAAATTGAAAATCTATTTTTGTATATTTAAAATGGAGTCAATATTTTCATAGCCCAGTAACCAAGCTTTCATATTCTTAAAAAATTCACAAGTACTATTGGCTGCCTCCAAAACAAAACAGCTGTTACAACCCTACTTGCGATGTTGTCACTTCAAAGGCCGCGGCCTGGAGTTAAAGGAGGCCGTACCTTTATCCTCTTAGTCAGGGTATACAACATGCCACCGCAGAACCCTGACCATGGGACTAGGTCCTATAGTAAATCTGTAATTATTGTTTATACTAGGCTAACCACATGTTGAATTGGTGGGAGAACTAGAATCCGATTAAAATTCATTTCAAACTAAGCAATTTTCATTATAGTTTCTTATAATAGTTATTATTCTTTTTGTTTCAGGTGGTTCAAACTTGAATTTACTGTTTTAATTCTATTGAACTTTGTACAAAATGGCTACAAATGGTTCTGGATCACCAGCAAAGAAAATTAAGAAAGTAGAACTAGGGAATGGAGAGACGACTGGGGAAGAAGACCCAGAAACTCAAAAGGTCCTTGAGGAAATTGACAAATGCCAAAATGAGATTGATGCTCTAAATGAGAAGGCCAGTGAAGAGATTCTTGGCATTGAAAGAAATTACAACAGGCTAAAGAAACCACATTTTGAGAAGAGAAACGATATCATCAAGAAGATTCCGAACTTCTGGGTCACTACTTTTGTGAACCACCCCCAACTAAGCCCTCTGATTGATGATGAAGAAGTAGATTGTCTTCAGTATGTCACCAAAATCGAGGTGGAAGATTTTGAAAACATCAAGTTTGGGTTCAAGATAAACTTTTATTTCGAAGAAGGAAACCCCTACATAGAAAATGATGTAAGTATTATATTGTTTTTACATTTTAAATCAATAACAAAATAGTTGTTAAGCCTTATTGAATATTTTGCTTGGATCTCATCATTGTCAAATGCTGCTTTTTATTTTGCGATTTCGTCAAGAATCCCTTGTGATGTCCAACGACCAAGAAGTATCGCTCGGTCCTAATTCTCCACTACCTAAGTATTTAAGAAAGTATAATGTCTTGCTACATGTTGTAATTAATTATTTTTAGTTTATCGTTACTCTTTTTAGCAAATTTCCCTGGAATTAGCTATTACCATTGACTATTGGATACTGAAAGAGACTTCCCATCTGTATGGACCAGCTGTCTCCAATTTTTATTGAAAAAGAATGTAGGCTAGTTGATTGAGCTGGACCAAGGCCCCACTAGAAAAACAGGCCATGCTGCAGGATCCATAACGTCATACTAGTGGATAGATTTCATTGATAAATTCATTGCCATCACCATTCCCATATGTTTTAGGTAAATAAACAAGCTGGTTGTTTGTAAGATTTTAATGGTAAGAGTTTAGTACAACTATCCACCACTGTGACGTAGTGTTGCACTGCGTGTAGCACTGCGCTGCCCGTGCTGCAGCATTGCCTGTTTTTTCTAGCCTTGGCTGGATGCAGAATGCGCTAGTGTCTAAAATTATATTTTATACCTTATTTTTCGTTGCTGATCAAGTTGATGAGTCTTAAAAGTTGTTATATAGTTCACAATACATAATTCCATCAGTTTGACTTGATAAAAAAGGTTGCAGGGTATCCACATTCTGGAAAGTCAGGGATAGTCATGGAAAGTCATGGAAAAAATTTATGGCCATTGAAAGTCATGGAAATAGGCAAAAAGTCATGGAAAGTCATGGAAATCCCCAATGATGGATGGATTTCAGGGGACCTTTCATTGCTCTAGTCGGCCGTAACCGCGACTATTGTAGCATTTTTCCGAATTTTTTACAAATGTAAGACAATTTCAATCTATACAGTTGTCTTAGTTTATGGGTTTTGAGTTTGTATTAGTTCATTGTTGTACCTATTGTACTCCATTGTTATCTGTTAATACTTATTTCAATATTTTCTGTAAAATAACTTGTCTAGGCAGTATTATTCGTGTGTGTACGGTATATTATAATTTTTGAGTTAAGTTTGTGAGTCATGGAAATCAATGGTTAATGGTCATGGATAGTCATGGAAAGTCAGGGAAATTGATGACAAAATTTCTGTGGACACCCTGGGTTGTGTATTCCACAGAAATTAGTAGGCCTAATTTAGATCAGCACAATCTGTCGGTGGCTCACATAAACTAAAGCCTAATCCACACATGGAGACTGAGTCGACCGACCAACACAGTTTCGGATACAAGTTTCCGATGTGTTTTGCGTCCACACTAGCCAGCCAATGTTTCTGTGCGGGCTTTATATTTCTGAACCAAAATAAACAAAATTTTGTATGGTGCTAAACGATTGTTGTATGGTGCCAATGAACCTAGGAATAGACGATGATGGACCCAACATTTTCTCAAGCAAGGCTTGTATTATGGTCACAATCTTCTATCAGACCTTCAGATTAGGTGAAGGATTAAGGAACTTCACGAGGTTGACTTCTAAAGATTTTGAAGTTTTGTTTGTTGGGCCTAAGATATTACACTTGATGAAGAGATGGATAGTTTCAAAAGTTTTGCGCCAAGCCGCATTCTCTATAAATTTGTTAGTAAAATGGCGATCGACGATGGTTGGGAAGTAGGTGGGTTAGATGTACACTATCATAAATATGCGGGAAGTGGTCACCAGGGAAGCAGAACACATTGTGCTGAACTCGGAACTGCAATTGACTTCCACTCTCACGGTAGTCGGCACTCGGCAGTGTGTTTTATCTTTGACTAGTATTCAATGGTTTTATCCTTAACTGTTTATTATGAATGTTACTGTAGGTACCAATTTCAAACAAAAACATTATTACTGATGTTTTCTAGAAATATTTTTAGCGATTAAAGCCAAAAAAAAAGCCTTTGTAAATGTGTAGTAAAAGTTATTTTCCCACCCATTCCAAAAATTACAAATCCTAATACCAAACGGCTACTTCCCAAAAACTGGATTGTTGCTGCCTAATACCATAGACTAGGACTAGATCAATGGCCCATAGTCTGTGCTAATACTGAACGACAATCCCACCGTTGCTCAGGAAGCCTGTAATCATGTTATACAGTAGTAGTTTACGAGTGCGATCACGTAAAGTTTCTTGAAGGCTAATTACACGCGTTGCGTACACTACTTTGCCTGCGACTGTTTTTAATTACCAACAATCAATACTCATAACGTCTCTTAGGTGAGCTTATGTTTTCTTTTATAGACTCTCATTGCCACTGATTGTCATGCAACGACTCCCTAAGCACTCACTCGTATAATCAATTAAATTGGCCGTAACAGCTGAAGTTGATGTTCAAAGCATTACAATTTTCATTTGTTTCTCTCGATCCTTGAACCTCATTGGTCCAAAATTGTACTGTAAAGTATAATGCTGTTAAATAGTGAACAATACTGTAAAGTAAATCTCTTAAAGGCTAGCTTCTCTCGCTTGAGGTATGTGAGTGAATTAGGTTTCAGGCAGAGCAGGGTAGGAATTTTACACATTGCGATACCAGATTATTTTATGGAAGTTTATTGGACAATGTCGTCACGCCACCATCACTATAAATTATTATAGGCTAATGTGGTAATGGCAGAAAATAACCTTGAGATCGCCATAATTGCTGGAGAGATAATGTTGTTGTTTTGGAGATATTATTCAACTAGACCTTTCTTTTTATGAAAATACAGTATAAACTCGTGGTTATCATTGCTCTGATTGACTAAGCCTTAAGATTAACCAATGTTTGAGAGGAAAAAACAAAATAGCCTAGCTGTTTGTAGGCTCAAGCTAAAAGTAGTTGTATTAGTGTGTTGTGATCTGTAATCGTTGTTAGAATGCAGATAGTGATAGTGTCAACGGTTCTTCAATTAAATGTCAAACTAAATTGGTATATTTATTTTAGGTTCTGACAAAGGAGTTTTCAATGGGAGCAAATGGTGAGCACAAATCCACAAGCACGCCGATCAGATGGAAGAAAGATCAGAATCTGTGTGAAAAGAAGAAGAAGAACACTAAAGCGAGTAACAGCCGCAAACGAGCATTCCAGGACGAGAAGAAGTTCTTTGACTGGTTCTGTGACAATGAAGACCCTCAAGGCGACGACATTGCTGATATAATCAAGGATGACATCTGGCCGAACCCGCTCCAATATTACCTTGTACCTGACGTGGATGGAGAAGAGAACGGGCTGGACGACGAGGGAGACAGTGAAGGGGATGATGAAGACATAGGGGATGAAGAAGAGGTGGAGGGTGAGGAAGGGGATGAGGGTGAGGAGGGTGATGAAGGGGAAGATGAGTAAGATATGTAGACAGTGGAAATGAACACTAAATAACTGTAAATTAAAACTTCACCTAATATATGTTAGTGTTACAAACCATGTACTCATTGTAACAATTATTTAGACATACCGTACACTTTTTACGTTTTTAATTTTTAAGATTTTTTTTCAGAATTTTCCAACAGAAGTGAAAGACAATTCCAGTGGTTTTAACTATTATGGCTGCATGGTTTTCAGATCTTGAGTTCAAAATAATATTTCGTATTTTTACAATTGTAATGATTCGTTCCTGCAAAAATAAAGGAATTAGTGGTGGCTCGTAACTTTATTGTATTCCAGCTGGTTAGGAATTGATAGTGAACTTGAATCCCTTAGTAGCCCTCTTGCATCTTACAATCTTGTTAGCACTTTTATTGAGATTTTTATTTCAGATTTATTTTTAAATAGTACTTAAGTGATGAGAGTCTACTGGTCTTGATTATTGTTAAAATCATTCAAAATAAATTTTTAATAACTGTGAATAAATATTTTTAACCTATCCATATTAAATTATGCCTAGTTGCAGTATCAGCCTACACAACACAAGGTGTAGATAAAAAGTAACTACTGATTTTGTAGGAGCCAAGTGTCTTTAATCAAGTGTCCCTCTATATTCAGGCCATAGCCTTCCTTCAAGTGCTTTGAACTGTTTGACCTTTACCCAACTATCATAGAAATAACTTAAATGTCTTACTAGGACAATTGTTGAAAAAGGTGTTTATTCCTCAATCCTCATTTGGACAACTGATTGATACTTGTATACATGTATTATATTTTATTTCTTCAGCAGGAAGGGTACTTACTTAACTTCATTTTTACTTTTTTATTTAATTCAAAAAGTCAAAATAAACATTACTTAATAATTCTGTGAGGGTAGTATTTTTTAACAGCTATAACTTGTCTTTACGATTCTTTTTCTCATCATACTTTTGCAAAAACTGCACGGGTACTAAAACAGCCATTGTAATGAATCAGATTGTCTACTGAACAAAGAAAAACGTTTTTGAAAGTTAAGCCTATTAAATTTTCTGTTTTAGCAGAGGGTGTGGATCATGATAAAGGTGTGTGTGAAATGTTCAATAGTTGCAATGGTAGCAGTTGTATCAGTCAAAATGTTTCCAGAGCATGTCACCTCAGTTGTATTGTACTGAGGTGACTTTTTCCATACATAACAAGGTCCATCCAGAACTATATAAGACTATGGCCTTAGTTAATAGCCCGAGATCAGGCTGGTTCGTTCAAACAAATGTTCTGTGGGACTGAGATTTTAATTAATGTTGTTTTGATCTTTTTAACTCATTTTGTTCTGATTGAATTCAGAGCCGTTAAAGGCTACTTAGCCAACAGTTTACAGCCGTAATTTTACCGTCTAAGATGTGACGTCAGTTTTGCTTAGTGGGGAAAATTTTAGGGGGGTTTTCCACTCGGTAAAGTACTTGTATATTTTTAACCATTAAACCGTATAGATTGGTGGAAGGCCAACGAGAAGTATGAGGAAAATCTTAAAAGTAAGCTTAAGTTGGTGTGGAAACAAATTAATGGTCTTAAACAGTTCAAAATGATGCCACAAAACCATCTCAAAAGGAAGTTTGCCATTTTGGATAGAGTGGACACGACTACCCGCCAATCGTGTTTTACGAGGTAGTGGGTTGTCGGGTACTAGAACATATAGCGACATGGATCATGAACATAATCAAATGGTGTTACTGGCCCGGAAGTAAACATGAATTATTTAACATTGATTAAAGGGAACCGTCTAAACCATAATGTCAATGTTATTAGTGTAGGATTCGGGTCAGTTTCGTAATTTTTTTATGTTTGTGGTCTAGACCGCTAAATGTTCTAATATTCATGTATATCCACCACTTTTTTTGGTACCTTTAACTCCAGGTAACAGCCTGGTAGAGTTGGTAACGTTACAAGCGCCAGACGTCCCATAAGATAACATGGCAGACAGGTGACACCGGCTCATTAATTTGCCTAGTATTAATTTAAATTTATGAACATAAATGTATTAAAAGATTGAAAATAAAACATATAGAATTTGAAAACCAAAACAATATTCTCATAGCCCAGTAACCATTCTTAAGATATACAGTACACAAATACCATTAACTTAGCTGCCTCCAGAAAAAAACCACTGTTACAACCCTAATTGCGATGTTGCCAATTCGAAGGCCGAAGCCTGGAGTTAAGGGTGCCCGTGAAGCTATCACTTAATATAGGTGGTGGGTTGACATAACTTAAGCACATTTTCGACAGGGTGTTATCCCAAAAATGTGTCACGTCAGATTTATCCGAGGTAGCACGCGTACGTGTCACCTCGACAAGGAGGCACCATGTCAACCCACAGCCCACCACCATCAAAATTCTTTTTTTGTGGCAGGTTGTTGTGGTGGCACCTTTACGTGCTCCATAACTTTATCCCTTCAACGGTAACTCCTTTTTCTTCTTGGATCCCAGATGATAAATTGTTAAATATTTAGGAAGATCGTAGAGAACAAAAGTGCCCTCTTTAAACCGGGTGGAACTCAAAACTAATATTATCTCCGGATCCGTAACACAAACATGAGATATAGTCTAATATGGTGTCATATATATACTGAAAAAGAGTAGATGATATGTTCAAATGGAAACTCATAAAATAAAAATGAACATATTTAAATAATTTAGTCTTCTGAATAAAGTTGTAGTATCCCTTACTCGCCAAGCAAAAGGAACATATATTTTGGATAAAAACAGATATAATGTACATTATACATTATAAACTATTCTGGCAGTATAGTTAATCAGATTCCTGAGCTGTTTGTTCGTCGGTATCCATGCAAGGGGTATTTATTTAAATTAAGGGATCGCAGACGCATTCAAGGGATGGTTGCTGACACCATTCTCTTATACTAACACTTTTGGGGATATGGTGGAGATAGAAACCTTTTAGGCCTACATTCCACCGAAGTCAGAGACCCCAACCATTAGCTTATTTTAGCCCTTATATTTACTAATTTTATCAAGGTAACTGGTTTATATGCCCAACGTTGTTGATTTTGTTTTATTTTATATATTCAATGTTATAATTGCTAATATTCATATATGTTTGTAGTTTTGATAAACTAATTTGGTTGTCTATGCCGAAGGTTTGTTGTTTGTAATCCCATGGCCTTTGAGTCTTTATTTTGATTTCCTGTACAGACTGTATTGTACACTTCTTTTTATTTTCTCTAGTGTGAAGTGTGACGACTGTGACTCGCTTTCTGCAGAAATGGCCGAGGTAATTTTTTTAATATTATCGATTTTAATCCTTTTATTAGACATACTTATTATTATTTCCTTTCCATACCTTTAGTCTCAAAGTTCAATACTTTTACGAGAAAAAATCCCTGCGGCTTTATGTAGCTCCGAAAATTTAGACGATATTAACCTCAAAGTGGAGTGGATATAAGAATAAGACATAGCCCAAGTGTGATTGGTCTAATCCCAATGTCTTTAAAACTTCTCTGGATTTTTTGCATCTTTAAAAATATGTTAACTATTGGACTCATCATAGACTAGTTAAAACCGTTCAACGTTTTCATGGTCTCAGCAAACCTAGCTAAGTTAACTTAAGTAGCCTATTTTAGTTTCAACTTTGATCATGTTTTATGATGATGCTCTAGGGATGGGAACTATGCCTAGGGCCTATCCGCTAGACCCAAACGAGTAATTAGGCCTAATTGTGCATGATAGGGTGACCAAGGAAACCTAATTGCAAACTAGGGTACAGTTTCTTAACTGGGCTAGTGATGGGCGATACGGACGCGTATCGCGATACAGCGATACAATACGCATCGGAAAAAATATTGTATCGAAGTATTGAATCGGGTGTCTGTATCGCGATACTCAAATCGTACTGTCAAAAATGTCGAAAACAAAAAATTACATTTCGTATTGTTTCCCCCCTCCCCTACCTAACCTAGAAACGTACTGGGACCGAGCTTTTCTCGGGGAAAATCATTAGTTTACTCTGAAAACAGCCTTAGTATTGCAGATACCATCAACATTTATGTGTAATCCATTCCCACACTCCACACTGCTCGCATTTACTACTACAGTACTTCCTTCACAACTCCCTACGTCTTGGACCTGTTTCCCTTTCCTTCCCATAGCATTTTAGGATTGCAGATACATTAATAATGTAATTGCTACAGACAGTTGACTAGTTGACAGTTCCCACGTACTCTGCACTGCTAGGCTAGGTAGAACGCTAGTGGAAATGGTTATGGACTGGAGACTGGACTGGGATGGGAATGGGACTGGGACATTATCAAGTAAAAACCAAAAATATAGACGTCACAAACTCTTATTTCAAAAAACTACACATCCACAGAGTAAAGATTTTGCAGTTTGCTCGGCCTGCGCAAAAAAAGCTTAAAAATATCGTTTTGACATGAATCGTATTGCTCTATGTGCCGATATAAATACAAGTATCGTTTTAGGCGATACGATACGTATCGTTTTTTAAATATTGTTTCGAAATATCGTATCGTCCCTCGCATATTGCGATATTCCGATACGATACCTATGTATCGCACATCACTAAACTGGGCTATGCGGTATTTATTTACCCTATTTTTACTGGGATTTGATGTTATTTTTCTATGTTTACTTACAGTATTTTTAACGCTGAATCCAAGATTGCAATCAGTTTTGGTCGGAGAGATTCCTAAGTGGCCGTACAGTTAAATTGAATATTAAGCTTCAGTTTTGTAGATTTATTAACGTATTTGTGTTATGGACGAGTCCAAGTTCTAGTGGCGACTAACACTAAAAGGGGTGGAAGGTTTGTGGAGTGAAAACAGCTGTCAGTTGTTTACATTCGATACTAAACAGACAAAACCACACATGACGCCATGAGAGCAAAATCAGAGTTACAATATGCAATAACTAGATTTTGAAAAGAAAATGGACTTTGTTGCTGTTTAGAAATACAATAAATCAACTACGATAAATAAACTATTAATCACATGAACATAAATTATAAAACAAAATAGAATTTATCCACGTAACCTATCAGTAATAGAAGCTTGGCCACTGCTGACATGATCATCGTTCTCATCCCAATCCTCAATCATTGACTAATGCCTCACATCTGTTAATGAACGTGCCATAGTGCATAATCCCACAGTTGGTTATTTGGTGGTGCCTCTAAGGGGCCACATGCTGGGTGCTGTGAAGTGATGATTCGTGTCAAGTGATGGGATTTGTGCTCTTGGAGTTCCTTGGTAGTGCCTTTAGAGGGCCACACGCTCAACAGTGTTAAGTGATGAAATAATGTCTTGTTGTCAGCATCCTATCAAAAAGTTTTCTCCCTCCAGATCCATACTTTTGTTAGGCTATATAGTTTTGTTTTTATGTTACGTTAGTATTTCACAGTTTATTATGCTGTTATCTATTGCCATAGTTTATAATTGTTATGTATAGTAAATTTATGTTAAATATTTACAATGCTGTCATTTTGATACTTAGTCTACTGATTGTTATTGATGTTAATTATTCACACTTATTGCTATTGTAGTTAATTATTTACACTGTTTCTTGTTATTGTTAATTGATGTTAATTATTTACACTGTTTCTTGTTATTGTTACTTTTTTCACAATGTTGTAACTGTTGCAATTTTACTCAAACTGTTCACCACCACCACCAAATTTCTTACTAATTTATTAATGTTTTCTATAGTATTACCTTGTTGCATGTAAATCTTGTCTAATGTATTATTTTGTAAAATGGCTATTGCCGTAGAAATGAATAAATAAATAAATAAAGTACATAATCCCATTGTGTCTAAAAGTGAAAACGTATCACAGTGCATAATACAATGTATCAGCAACTAATAAATGATGTTACATAATCTAATCCAACCTAACCCAACCCAACCTTAATATTAGTGTTTAAATCACATTTTATGTCAGAAAAGGCATGTGAGGAAGATAGGTCGGACTTTATGCGGATTCATGACTTTATTAAGTCCTTTGAAGTGAGGTTAGATTAGGTAAGTTAAAGGTTAAGGTTATAATGAGTCGGTTCATTATAACCTAACCTTTACCTTCCTAATCTAACCTCACTTCAAAACACTTAATACAGTCACGAATCTGCATTAAATCCGACCTACCTTCCTCACATGCCTAAATAAGAACTGATTATTTGGTTTCAAAACGAATTGATTTGATTTCATTCCGCATTAGATCAAGTATAAACAGTTGTTTGCTCTTCTCACTCAGTCCTCACTCCTCACTCTTCACTCAGTACGGACCCATCCAGACCCAGACCACGCCATATTACCATTACCTTCAGTACCGCTCAATTATCCTTAGATTCGTAATCCTAACCTTCGTTTTACGGCCACTTAGGAATCTCTCCGAAAAAATTGATTGTATTTTTGGATTCAGCGTTAAAAATACTGTAAGTAGACATATAAAAATTACATCATATCCCAGTGTAAATACGGTAAATATTTGCCGGCTATGCTAATAAAGTTGGATCAAAACTATCAATTCGATTAGTAAACTTAACCCTCCAAGTGTCAATAGTAATGGTCTTAATGTCCGCCCATTTATTGCGCAATCGCAGGGTTTTAATAAAATGAAGGCCTATCTTAGAAACTTAAAAACACTCTAAAGTAGGGTAGGTATACTGTTTTATACATCATTTTGTTTGTTAAACTATGGGCTTTAATGCAATATATATAAAACATTGCATAAAAAAATGTTAAACAATTTTTGTGGGGTTAACATTTCTCAAAAATTATAAAATAAATTACAAAAATTTATGTTTGCGCTCAAAAAATTTATGATAATTTTAGGTCTACAAATATTCAAATAACCACTTTGTTCTAAATTTTATGAGGATTCCAATAATATAAGGAAGTAGGTTTGCAAATAAATGAGTTATGGGTGAAAAACAGATTTCGTACATTTAGCGTTAGCTAAGAATGCATAGCCTAACCATAGCTAGGAATCTGGTGGATCATTCACATCAATATCACTACATACTTCAGGAGCATCAACCAGCCCTTCAAAATCACTTAAATCTTCTTATAATGCACCGCGTATATCACCACTTTTTATTTTTAACACTAAAACAATGATAAACGTAATAAAACACAACAGTTATCGGTGCGAGGTTAACCAAGTTGTTTACAAATAGGCACGTCATCTGTCTGCTACAATAGTTTCGGAACTAAAATGAAAAGCGTCTAGAAACAGACATCAGGAGAAAGCTTAGAATCTGCCGAAAACGATGTACCAATCTTGATCCAGTTCAATCTGATTCAGTCAGTCCCAGAGCCTTCCTGTTAACGATGTTTGTGTGTCGCTTAAGCGACGCATAACACCACGGCGGGTGTGTTCAGCGTCAATTACGCGACGCTTAACACTCGGCGGGTTAATGCAATTTTTTGGGTACACTTCCATATATCTGTTGGCACAAACAACCGAATGATGATATCGATGGATATATCGATTATTCGATATATCGTTTGGTTAGTTAGGTAAGGTTAACCTAACCTAACCAACCAAACGATATATCGAATTAAACAATCGAATAATCAATATTACTCATTCGTTTGTTTGTGCCAACAGATATGAAAGTGTACCCAATGATTTTAGCCTATCAGCAAGTTTGTTTAAGTAGTTAGGTTAGGTTATTACAGTTTCATTTTACAATGGATATATTTAAGTTAATAATCTAGATTAACTTACGGTATTAATCAATATTTTCAACTCGATACTCAGTTAAAATTAGCCTAGCCCAGTTCTTAAGAAACTGTACCCGCGAACAAAAACTGACCATCGAAAACTAATCTCAAGAAACTAGCTTAGATTTTTTCCTGCAAACATCCTTTTAGGCCTAGGGGTACAGTTTCTTAACAGGGCTATGCTAATAGGCATTAGATTGAAAATATTGGTTCGATTAGTAAACCTTAATGCGATTTTGTTACCATCAGCAAGTTTGGTTGGTTAGGTTAGGTTATGATAGTTTAATTTTATAATAAATATATTAAAAAATATTGATTATTAATCTATATTTGCAATTCGATAGTTTCATTCAATATTAGCGTAGTCCAGTTAAGAAACTGTAACTTACCCCATTTTAGCCTAAACCTTTTCCTAAATCATTCCCAACTTCTAATAGGTTATGGCACGGTTCCACATAAGCCCGATCTAGGGTACCTTCCTCACATGTCTAAAGAAGAAGTGATTAGGCCCTATGCTTAGTTCAGAGCATATTTTAAAGGATTTCCACTGGGCGACAGTGGCGCTGGACTTAACGGTGGGTCTGGACTTACCGGTGGGTCTGGGGGTATGGAATACCCCATCAAAAAGGAGGGTCTGGGGGTATGGAATACCCCCATCAAAAAGGAGGGTATGGGAAATCTATATAATTAATACGCTACATGAAACTTTGTCGGTTGAACTCCTCCGCCATTTCTTAACCGATTTTATCCATTGACGTCTCATTGGAAAGAGCGTGTCGCGTAGATTTGCAAACTGGCCTTACATTTTTGAAAGAGTCCCTTGGGCTCTGCCCCAGTGGCTTTGAAAGATCCCATGTTATCCTTATGAAGAACATAATTGTTTACATTTTGATCAGCTGTATAATTTAATTGCTGTTATTTATTTTTCAATTCAATGAAACGCATTGAGTACATTTATTTACTATTTGAGTTTGTGTAAACATAACCCCCAAGACGGATCGTATTAGTATGGTTGTTGTATCTTAAATTTGTGTATTTATCGTTGTTTTGTGTCGCTATGACGGATCGAGTTAGCATGATTGTAACTTAAATTTGTGCATTTATCGTTGTTTTGTATAGCTATAATTTGTTTATTTGTTGTATTTCCTTTTAAATGCCTCCGACGCGATGACAACGAAACATAGACAAGAGGCGTAATCGTGATAACGACCGCAGCTACAGAACAGTGGCGCGTAAAGGGCGTTATTATACATTGATGGTAGGCTTAAGGGTGGGCTCTACCTCAGCTCGGAAATCTCAGAACGATGTTCGAAGTGTCCGCCAGACTGCGCCGTGTCGGTTCAACCCAGTTGGAGGGGAAGGGGTGGGAGGAGCTAGGAGGTTCGCGAGTTGACTGCCGCTCCCCGCTAGGCACTGGCACTAGGCAGTGCCCTGCGGAGTTCCCGACGCACACACGCGCAAGCGCAACCTGGTTGTTATTTGCGCGTCCGCATATCTTTTGCTTCTGCTCAAACCTCCATCATGCCCTGCCACCGACACTCACTGGCAGCAACGTGACGTTCGCTATCGCTCCCATAAGCTTATACAGTAAAAAGTAAAACATTCCTAAATATTGAGTCTTGTTTGTCATTATTGAATAAAAATAAAATACTTTAGTTATACTTTGTAAAGTATCACTACATTGAATTATAGTAATCTTAAGTTTTTTTTTAATCAACTGTTATAATTATTTATTTTCTTTTGTTGATGTTTAAGATTTTCATTATTATTTAACTCTATTCCATCTGTAGCTACACCGTAATGGGCACAGAATCAGTCGGTATCTCACAAAAAAATTGAAAAAAGTGTTGTTAAACATTACCATGTTATTCTTATGGAGAAAATTAAAACCGTTTTAATTTACTTGTTTATGGATACACTGTATGTTGATAAAATTTGGCAAATTCATTAATTTCAGTATACTGACGTATGGTCAAGAAACACAAGAAATGGCTGAGTGGTCAATAGTCTAGCTAGAACATTTGAGGTATCAGATTCAAGTCCCCAACTTGGAGGGGTTAATTACAAAAATTTAAAAATGCTGTTTTAATAAAACAGTACTATTGAGTACTGGCATAGACTAATCAACACGTATGTTTTATCTATGGTACTGGTTTTCTAAAAAAAACTCTTTATTATGGTTGTTATTAGAACAATCTCATACCCGACGATAATAAACAAACTTATATTTTGGTAAAGTTTTAAAGCTGAATCTGTGCAAGCAAGTTGCGTTGGCTGAGTATAACTGTTTACAAAGAGGACAGTATACTCATCTATTTACTTATTTAATACGCAAGCAGGTTTTTTGTGACAATTACTCCTCCGAAACTACTGAACCGATTTACATGTTTCTGGTGTCATTGGAAAGAGCCTAACGTGAAGTTGTGCAGGAAACTTTCTTTTTAGGGAAATAATTAGAGAGTGAGGCCCTGGTACCCTTTAAAGTTTTGTATTTCTCCATAAGATTAGCATGGGAAACAAAAAATTTTTATAAAACTCCAGCTGTTGTCAGAAATTAAAAATGAGAAGAAAAACCTATGTAAATTGTAAACCGTCAATAATTTTGCTAATTTAATAGTATGAAATGAAATATTCACTATTTGAATTTGGGTTTGCATAAATATTACAATGGAAAAAGCGAGAGAGCTGATTTACATTACTCCTGATATACTGAAAAAGAAAAATGAGTTAACAACACTGTGCTGCATTTCTTAGTAATCATTGAACGAGCCGATTTTCAACTATGGAAACATAGGAAAGTTATATAACACCACCAAGGTGAAGAAATAGAAATATTGTTAAGAAGAAACAAGATCAGCTTTTGAAAAGTGATAAGATATTTATAAGAAATGTTGATTCTATCTATCTCTTATGTACATCTTAAAAATGTTATAATCTTTGAGTAGAATCTTTTAAAGTAATCAGAAATTATGACTGTTATTTGTATTAAAATAACGCCTGTATATATAGCAATTGCTCGAATTCGAGCAGCAGGGACACTAGTATGCGTAAAAACGGCGACGACGCAAAGATAGAATAGAATCAACCGAGAGGAGGGGAAATATCGATCGATGGCTGTGGTGGGAGAGCCGACGACAGGTTGAGCCGTTGGCCGCATGGCCGCGCCACTGCACGGCGCCTTGAAGAGCGCTTGCAAGCCTTTCGAGTCTGCGTGATTACATAGTTATCATTCAACTTTTTAGTAAACTAATTCCAGGTTCTTGTTTTTAAGAATCTATTGCACGTCTCCCGTTTTTTATTTTTTCTCTAAAAATTATTTTTATGTATTAAAACTCATGATAAAGAACGCCTCTTTTAACATTTTTCACCAACCTTTGAGCCCAAAATTTTTTAAATTATCAAAATTTAAAAAAACGGGAAACCTACAATAACATTTGACGGAAAATATGACACCAAGATCTTTTAAATCGGTTCACAATTGGGGCTACAATCAGGAAGAACTAAAACCCTTACATTTGCGCGCGCCAGACGGGTAGAGCGCACCCTTAACTCATCACAGTCAGCACCTGACCCTGGACAATCTCAACTATTAAGTTACAAATGCGCCCTAACACTACCCCAAAACGACTTTTCGTTCTCAATTGGCCCTCTATCAATGACCTGTATTGCCTGTACAACGAGGCACTTTGAGAAGGAGAAAATCGGCCGGAATGCTTTAGGTTTATCAACAACGAAGATAAATATGATCTGAGTTACACACTTTGGTAATCTTTGAGTTGACTCTTTTAAACTCATTGTAAATATGACTTATTCGTTTTGAAATAACTCCTGTAATACTTTGCAATTGCTCGAATTCGAGCAACATGTACACTAGTAATTTCTTAATTCAGAACAATTCAACATTTGGGCCCCGTAAGCTAGCACATCTTGACTGTTTATGACTCATACCCCCCCCCCCCCCCGTTAGGGTTTGTAGGCCTACTGCCATATGTATGTACAGTATATTAGGTAAACATTGCAGTTCTAAGATGGAATTGTTAAACCTATCTGCACATTAAGTTTAAAATCTTTTCTTAAATAAGTATTAGTCACAATAACCGCATAAAAAGTGTATATTATCACAACCTCATATAATGTCAAATTTAAGTACCGTATTCAATTAACTTGATATATTCTTTTGGATGTCTTAGGTCCTATTATGGATGTTCAGTTGCCAAATATTATTTCCTTAACTTTACTAGATTTATGATTTTCTAGGAAGAAACCCAGAAGAAGAAGAGGACCTTCAGGAAATTCACTTTCCGAGGGGTGGATTTGGACCAACTTCTAGACATGCCAGCGTAAGTTTACTGTAGCAAAATTTTGAGTACCTAGCCTAGGCTTGCTTGGACTTGAGACAATTTTATTTTCCTAACATTTTCTACGTATACTGAGTTGCATTGCTAAATATTACACACAGGATATGAGGGTTATAATGTCTGTTGGAGACAAAGTTTTATTTCAAAATAGCGTAATAGATTCCCTTAAGTTTAACAAAATGTTTTGTAGAACTGAATCGTAGGCCTAAATACGTATATAGAGGGTTAATAACATGAAACAGTTATTTCACTGTACTGGTAACTTAATATTTTTTTGGCATAAATAACAATGAGGAAGATTGGTCTTTTCAACAAAATATTTTCTCAGCAAAACTATTTACTGTAAATGAAATCTGGTTTAAGTTAATTAAATTCAAATAAACTGAAATCTTTAAACAATATTTGCTATTAAACATTAAAAAGCTGTTAACTTTTTGTGGTCATAATTAAAAATGAATACATTTACTTTTCTCTTATATGGAGAAAGTAAGTTAGTATTGTTTTTGTCAAAATGTTTGGGTTTTGAGTTGATGTATCCATTTTGAGTCCCCCTCAACCCAAATAAAGTGGTTTTTGAAGTGATCGTCTTTGTGTGTATGGATGTGTAATAAGCTACAAAACAGACCTCACATGTGGTCCGATTTTAAAGAAATTTGATATGTCCTAATCCATGGTATGCCTGCAGTATCTCTAGGCGTTTGACTCTTAACAAAATGTTACAACCCCCATTGCTGTAAAAATCTAAATCTGCTGTAAAAAGCTATTGCAGCTTTTCCTCATAAAATCATAGTTAATACGTAATAGAGAAAGTATTGTTAGATTGCTAGTTTATTTTTTTAAGATGTTGATTAAATTAACTTTTTCGTTAGGCCTAGTTGAAAACTTTTTTTTGTGCTCAGGCCAAATAAGTTAATCCTGTTTATCATCTTAGGGAACAACTCATGGAGCTGATGCATGCTCGAGCTCGTCGCCGTTTCTTCCGTGGGCTGAAGAGGAAACCCTTGGCTCTGGTGAAGAAGCTGCGTAAGGCCAAGAAAGAAGCTCCGCCAAATGAGAAACCAGAAGTTGTCAAGACCCACTTGAGAAACATGATCATTGTTCCTGAAATGGTCGGCAGCATCATCGGTGTTTACAACGGCAAGACATTCAACCAGGTTGAAATCAAGGTAGGAATCAAATTTTATTTTGTTTAAATCACTTTTGTGCTGGAAAAACCATATAGTTCTCAAGAAATGGTTCTCTGTGTCGGACTCAATCATGAAAACCTTTGAAACGTAAATTTTGTCAGCCTTTAAAACCCTGGAATGAAATGAAAATTTTGTAGTAAAAAATAAATTACGAATGAGCCGTTTCCGGCTTTTGGTTCCACAAACCATTCAATAGTGTATAAAACCATTTATTTTTATTGGTTCTTGATAGGCCTACTAACATTAGTAACTTTATATCTCACAATGGAATCGCGAACCATTGTGAATTATCAATTGCCCAATTCAATTTTATGATATAAAGTTTTACTTAATTTTCAACTGTATTTTTCATAAACGTGAGTCTTAGAATATATTCTAAGACTCACGTTTTTAAAAATAAAGTTGAAAATAAAATTCTAACATTTAAACGGGAATAGAGATTTCTTAAATATTTTAATCTTAAAAGATTCCTAATCTATGCAAATTTCATATGCATTTATTTTTATTTTGCTTCTACAATTTTATTCAATTGTATTTTATAAGTTTTTTACTTTGATTCAGAATTATAATCCTAATTTATCCCCGTCAACTACTAATAGCATTCTGTACTTTGCATTCAGGAATTTAGATGCTTCAGACAAGATCTAGACACTAACATTTTGTATATAATATCTCTGAGCAAACACTTGAATTCAACATATTAACCAAGGAAAATATCTATAAAAAATTGATGCTATGGTAAAACTAAAGGCTGCTCCAGACATGTGCCATTCCCCAAGCAGCCACTCGCCTAATCGCAAGTCTTGTAGATAGGTGTTTGTGTATTTGGCGAGCAGCAAACATTCGTATTCGTGTTTTCCCGTTGTCGATATTCTTGCATACATAAAAGTAAACAAATATTTTCTATTCCCAAAACGAATTAAAAACAAACAGTTGCTCGGAAAACAACACGTGTGTAGACGTCTACTCGTTAATCGGCGAATAGCTTAGACAACTAGACTGCCGAACGTCAAATATTTCGTGCTTGGCGACTGGCGCATGTTTGGAGCCGCCTTAATAGAACAGAATTGACTGCATGAATATGGTTCAGAGTGTTAAATTATAATATAGTAAGATTTTCCACAACTTTTGTAAACTAATCTCATGCAGCCTACATTAACCAAATATTAACTTGATTTAATGGAAAGATATTTAATGTAACTATGTAAGGGGTCTAGGCTCACATTCAAGTTTTTCTCCCAATGCCTCATGTTGTGTGTTGTTGCAGCCTGAAATGATCGGCCACTACCTCGGGGAGTTCAGTGTCACGTACAAACCTGTCAAGCACGGTAGACCCGGTATTGGTGCCACTCACAGTTCAAGGTTTATTCCTCTCAAATAAACCAAATGTTTTATATCTTAATAAAATGTTTTAAAAACTATCCAGTTTTTTAGATTTTTCATACTTTTCCTTCCCAAGACAACCTTTCTAACAAGACAACTTCTAAATCTAAATTAATAGTCTTGTTTTGGTAAACAATGGATGCAGAACCATAATTTGCTAAAATTACCTTACCAAATATCATATTGAATGTATGTGTTTATTTATTAATATGTTTGTAATGAAAGAAATTAATTTTATTTACCTGTTGGAAGGTGACATCGAAAGTTGTTAACAGGTTTATTATAAGGCATAGCTGTAAGATTAAGCAGCAATATAAGTTATTTTGTGTCTTAGTACAGTAGTGAAAAAGTCTAAATCAAGTGTAATAACTGTCAATACAACTCTACTCAGTCTGGTGGCTGCTCAGAGTCAATTCTTTAAGGTCTGTTATGCAAAAGAGGTTCTCATCGGTTTCTGATCAGGAACGTGAGACGCTAGTCTAAAATGCGCCATCTGGTCAGTTGATCTCTTGAAGGTAAATTTAAATGTCTTGATTCAAGAACAGTAGGGGTCCAGAATGTCTGCAATGTGTTACGAGATTGTAGTGGCATTCGCACGTCAGTTCCAAATGACGTCACATTACGCTCCTAATCCAGTTACTTGTATAACTGCTTGGGAACAAGTTGCACACAAAGAAAACCTAGTATTAGGAACGTTAGTACCTCTTCTATACCTCATTAGCCGAAATGGATGGAATCTACTTCAAGTTTTTCTGCCCTTAACTATTGATTATGAAATGAAACTGTTCTAAATTAACCTACTAACCAAACTTGTTGTAACATTCAAAATTCTGTTTGATAGCAGAATAATTCTGAAATGAATCTCTTCTAATGTAGCCTAACCAAACTTTCTGTAACATTTCAAAAATTCCTTTTGATAGCAGAAATGGCTTTCGCGCTCCATTGACTGTTGTAGAACGTCCAATCCTTACCTGAATATGCTCACCTTTTTTTGAAATAAATTATTTTAACGCTTCAATATAACAAAAAGTGAAATTAACCTCCATCTTCACCGAAATTTAATGTGAGTGAGTAATTAAAAATTGCTTCTAGAAAAAATTAACCTATACATTATTTTGCAATACTGGAATTAGAACGGGAATGGGTTGTGACGTCATTTTGACGTGCAAATAATCACTTCGTTACAATTCACTCCCGTGTGATGAGAGACATTATATACAGAGGAGTGTGCCGGCTGGGACTGAACCTGTTAACACATTCACTCCCGTGTGATGAGAGACGTTATATACAGAGGAGTGTGCCGGCTGGGACTGAACCTGTTAACACATTCACTCCCGTGTGATGAGAGACGTTATATACAGAGGAGTGTGCCGGCTGGAACTGAACCTGTTAACATGATAATTAGACCAATTTGTATATACCAAGGCAAAAATGTGGTTCGGATTCCACTATAAACTGTAGGTCCCTTAGGCTTGCCATTAGCTGTATGGGCTATTAATTAACAGCTGTGTTTAAGGAATATGTCGGCCTTAGTCAATAACAATACTACAAGATTAAAGTATTAAAAAAGTATACTTCTACCTTCTTTTCTCATTTTACAAATACATCTTAAGCAGCATCACTTTTGCTTTAACATTTAAAGAATCTTCCTTTAAATGTTTTGCTGTGGATACTGCTTGTTTTTTGGCGCCTCTGTCCACAACTTAGATGGGAATTAACTCATTATCCATCCATCCATCCATTGGCTCACAAAGCAATCCAAAAATCTTATTTGTCATGTCGAGAATTAATGTCCATTGCCTATTATCATCATAAAACCCTATTCTACCTTATCCTCAAGTGTAATTTTATAATGATTTGTACTTGTCAGGCAATAAATAGTTATGAAAAAGACCTTTATAAAACTTACCTTCTTTAATTACAATTTCCAAAACTAAATAGTTTGGCAAAAAGACATAAATTCCAAGAAGCTGTTGTAGGTTTTTATGAACTTGTGCACAGAACCTTGTGTGCTGCAATTAAGATTAAGCCTATGTCCTTCTTGGAAATATTCATATTCATATATTCATATTCTTTATTCATATTTTTTGTACAAAGGTGGTACAATGAATAGCGTCAATAAAAAGAAATACAATTACAATGATATTAGTAAATATTAGGCTAACAAGTAAAATAATAACAAGTCTTAAGCTAGTCAAGAATGAAACTGGTACCCTAGAGAATGGGGCTGTCAACCCACACACTAACCCCTTAAACCATAATCATATGTATAAAGTTCTAATTTTTACCAATAAGTAGGTTTTAAAATAAAATGTCAGTTACCTATGATTTTTCAATCTTAAAATCCAATGTATGTTTGTATATTTGTATGTTTGTCCTTTATGGACTCCGAAACCGCTCGACAGATTGTAATGAAACTTTTAGGCATTACTAGCTTATGTACCCGTTCATTGCACGGGTTGGAAAAGAAGTATTGTAGGGGCAAGCAAGCAGTAAACTTTTGGGTCTAGTTTTGCGAGCTTTGAACTTTTTCTGGCTGAGTATTTTATTTTGAAGCTGCATGGCTGATTACTTCAAAATATCAAAACAATTTTGAAATAGGTACTTGACTTGGTATGTAAAAACATTTAAAATAAAGATTTTATTTTACGCTTCTGTACTTTGAAATACAAATACTTAATACTTATGTACTCTCATATACTGCAAGAATAATACTGCATACCAGGATGTGCTCTTCAGTAGTTGCTGGTATTGTTTTTATTTTTTGTATTTCTGGATAAACTTATTTAGTAAATACTGTAGATATAACTTAATTTTGTGAATGGGTAATTAATTAGTATGAAGAAATAAAAGTTATGATATTTCAAAACAGGTAAAAACGTTTTTTAATTCATTTCTGTAAAACATTTTTATATACAATATTGACAACTTGGTTTCCTTTGGGGGAATATATACAAAGGTTCTTTCCATTCGAGACCCTTGAACATGCGACATAAAGTTGTCCATGACTGAAACAATCCTTCTGCAAGTTTATCCCTACAAATTTCATAGTTTGCCCTTGGGCTTTGTTGATAGTGATGGCAAATGCCAGTTTCAAGGGAAACTGAATTCTTTTGAAATTAAACGGAAGATCTGTTGGGATTATTGGTATTCGTGGGATTACAACGTGTTCCCCTTTAGCGCAACCTGTCATGATTTTGGCACTAATCAAATTACTTTTTAGTTCTGTTATAACCAATCTGGTACCATTGCAAAGTCTTGGCGCATCCAAGTTGCGCATCAACAGAACAGTTGCACCAACTTTTAGTTTGAGTTTGTGTGAAGGAACTCCAGACAATTCTAAACTATTAAGAAATTCTGTAGGGTAGTTCGTAGCACTTTCCTCATCCACAACTGTATCAATTGAGAAAAATGTAAAATCTTCAGAGGGCAATTTCTTAAGCAAAGCGTCATTTATAGTGTTTACTGTCTCATTTAAGGGTGATAAAATGCTGCGATCACAAAGCCACTCACTTGAAAGGTAGTTTGTTTCAAAGTCTGGAAACACGGAGGAAATAAGATCTTCAGTTGAGTCGACTAACTTGCAGAAATTTCTTGGTAGCTCGATTATTTGCTGCTCATTTGTTGGAATCTTACCTTCACCTATTTTCAGCAAGCTTAATGCAAATTCGCCGGCATTGCTGTCATTGTTTAAGAGAACCCGCATGTTTTCGGTGAGGTATAGTTTTGAAACATGATCCCATAGGCGTGAGGACTTTAAACAGGCACTTATTTCATCAGCAGGAGTGCCACGCTGGATTACAGGCAGTGTCTGTCTGAAGTCCCCAGCCATCAAAACAACTAAGCCTCCCATCAATGTGTTGCTACCCCGAATGTCACGAAGGGATCGATCCAAAGCCTCTAAAGCTCCTTTGTGGGCCATGGTGCACTCATCCCAAACTATTAAATTGCATTGACGCAACAAAGCAGCTCTTTCTGAATCTTTGGGGATGTTGCATGTTGGCATTTCGACATTGGTTAAATTTAGTGGTAACTTAAATACAGAGTGGGCTGTTCTTCCTCCAGGCAAAAGGGTAGCTGCTATACCAGATGATGCTACTGCAATTACAATTTTATTTTCTTGTCTAATTGCAGCAAGTAAAACGTTGATGAGAAAAGTTTTGCCAGTGCCCCCAGGAGCATCCAGGAAGAATACTGCATCCTCTGCGTTTTCTATTTTGTTGATTATAGTGTCATAAATTTTTCTTTGGTGATTTGTAAGCTTTGGTAAGTTTTCTCTAACATATTCTTGAAGATCATTGGTGTTGTATGACAATTCTCTGAGTTTGCTTCAACATTAGTTTGAGGATTTGGGAGTCCAAAAAAACTCAGTTTCTTTCCACACATTTCAAAAACCTTCTTTTCAATATCACGAAGTGCCTCGTTGAACACAATATCATTCGCCTCTTCAAGTTGAAACCTGTGCACAATATCTTCAGACATTTGCATTCTGAATGTTTCCCAGAGTTCTGTTGGATTATACATTCCACATGAACTTATCATTATGGAGAAAAGGTAGCGGACGTGGGAGGATGATCTTGATTGTACTGCTTCTTCGAGTGTGTTCTTCCATATTTGGTCATCTTCTAAAAGACCCAAAGCTTGGCAGGTCTCTTTGTACGTATCAAAGACAGTATTTCCAACAGTTCTCAAATCAATGAACGATTTCGGACCACGGATCTTGTGTAAAAGAATACGTAGACAAAAACATTCCACATTATTCGGGTGAACAGTGTATACGCGTCCTATAGCAGCTGAGTACTTGACATCAGGATATTCTTCAACAGGTTGTCCCAATAGTCTTCGTTTAAATTCTCTTGTAGATGCATTCCAGGTGTAGTAGTGAGGTACATCTGGGTAAAGGAGACCTTGTGCAAATGGATCTGTTTCACATAGTTTAAAAAATGCAGTCAACGTGGTGTTAGGTGGATTTAATAGCTTTTCTTGCATGTTGTCTTCATTGAAATATATCCGCTGACCATTTTCAAGATGAACACTT